GAGAGCATGAGAGGGAGGAGGGTCAGAGGGAGAAGCAGACTCCCTGCTGAGCAGGGAGCCCGATGCGGGACTCCATCCCGGGACTCCAGGATCATGACCTGAGCCGAAGGCAGTCGCTTAACCAACTGAGCCACCCAGGCGCCCAATTCCTGAGCCTTTTTGAAAATTCTGCAGTTTTAGTTGAATTATGTCTTGTGTTTCCCACTGCTGGCTTTGGATTCAGCTTTCTCAGCTCTGCTGTCAGGTACTAGTTATTATTGATCATACTTTCTAGCTTCTGAAATTTTGTAGCCATTGTCCTTTCTCTCTCACTAGTTTTGTGAGTTTATGTGTCAAATATCTATTTACAGGTGTTCTAGAGGGTTTCAGGAGAGAGTCAAAATACATATGTTCAATTTCAACCCAGAAAATTAGAGTTGTATATTCTATATACTAATCCTTTGTCAATTACATGTTGCAAATATCTTCTCTCAGTTTGTGGCTTGTATCTTCATTTTCTTTATAGTGTCTTTTGATGAAAAGAAGTTCTTAATTTTAACATATGTAAATTTATTAATCTCTTCTTTTATGTAGTACTTTTGTGACTTGTTTAATAAATACAACCATACTCTCAGATAATGGAGATAATGTCCTATATTTTCTTCTAAAAGCAAATAGTTTTACTTTCCATAGTTAAGTCTTTTATCTGTCAGGAGTTGCTATTGGTGTGAGTTAGGGATAAAAAAAAACTTTTCTTTTTATCCATCTGGATAACCAACTGTCCCATTGAATAGTCTATCTCTCCCCACACCCCCACCCCCGCACCAATATATAATGCTATTCCAATTCTGATATATCTTTTCCCATAGCTTTACTTTCAGTCATCTCTGTTGTGTATTGTTCCATATATATATGGCCCCATATCTGATCTGTTTCATTCTCTATCAATCAATTTGGCTATTCCTACAGTAATACTATGCTTTATAAATGTTTGTCACTCTTCCTATCTACATGCATGTTAAACTCTCCGTTTATTTTTTAAGCAAAGTTTTATATTATCCATACAGTTTTATACACATTGTTAGATTTCTACTTACTGTTGTTTTTTGCTAGAATGATATACGTGTGTGTGTGTGTGTGTGTGTGTGTATTTTATTTTTTAAAATTATGCTTCCTGGGGCACCTGGCTGCCTCAGTTGGAAGAGCATGTGACTCTTGATCTCGGGGTCATGAGTTTGAGCCCCATGTTGGGTGTAGAGAGTACTTAAAATGAATAAATATATTAAAACTTAAAAAAAATAAAATTATGTTCCCTAAATACTTGCTGTTGAGGTAAAGAAATGTGATTGACTTTTTATCTTATATTCACCCAACTTTCTAAATTCTTATTCTAATAATTTGTAGATGCTATGTACACAACTGTATTGTCTGTGAATAATAAGTTTTTTGTATTCCTTTCTTACCCTTGTATCTTACATGATATTATTTTCCAAAATACAACTTATCTGATATTGTTTTCTAAATTTTGGCACTTTCCTTAAATTTAACAAATTAAAAATCATAATTATTTTCCATTGACATTGGTTGCTTAAATTTAACTCACGTTTACCAATTTCTTAGCTCACCATTCCTTCTTGCATCTCAGACCTTCCTTTTGTGATCACTTTCCTTCTCCCCAAAGTATATCCTTTAGAAGTTCCTTTATTACAGGTCTGATGGTAGTAAACATTTTCATTTTGTTTGCTGTAAATGTCTTTATCTTTCTTTTGTTCTTGAAAGAAAGATACTTTGGGCGCCTGGGTGGCTCACTCAGTTGAGTGTCTGCCTTTTGCTCAGGTCGTGATCTCTAGGTCCTGGGATCTAGCCCCAGTGTTGGGTTCCCTGCTCAGTGGGGAGTCTGCTTCTCCCTCTCCCTCTGCCCCTCCTCCCTGCTCGTGCTCTTTCGCTCTGTCTCTCAAAAAAATAAATAAGATCTTAAAAAAAAAAAGGAAGACATTTAGACAACAATTTTTCTCTGCCTGTTTTTAAGGTCATCTCTTAAGCTGGTGTTGGGCAGTTCCACTGTGAGATACTGATGTGTGAAATTCCTTGTATTTATTCTATATCTGTGGATTCATTTCTTTTATTAGTTCTGGAAAATATGGAGCCTTTTTCTCTTCAGATAATGCCTGTTCTCCTTTCTGCTCTATCCTTCTGGGACTCTGAGTAGATGTGTATGAGATCTTCTCCTTCTGTCTTTCATATTGCCTAATGTTTTTTTCATATTTTTTAACCACTTGGTCTCTGTGCTGCATTCTGGGAAATGTCTTTCTCTCTTTCATTTCACTAATACTTTTTTTTAAAAGTTTTTATTTTAATTCCAGTTAGTTAACATACAGTGTTACATTAGTTTCATTTGTACAATATAGTGATTCAACAATTCCATATATCACCCAATGCTTATCACAAGTGCACTCCTTAATCCCCATCACCTATTTCACCCATCCCCCCACCCACCTCCCCTATGGTAACCATCAGTTTGTTCT